GAGGTGATCTGCAGGTTTTGATCCTGCTGGAAATCTGGAATCTTAATTCCATCCACTAGGGGAACAACATTATCACCTCCATAAATTGCATCTAGAGGCTTTGGCTAAAGATGGGTGAGTTGGGTCGGAGAAATTTATACTTTACATAAATTCTTAACTTGTAATGGTTCTTTATGATTAAATAAATAAACGACACCAACCTGATTGTGGGATTAAAAAAAAAAAATAAATAAAAATAAAAAATAAAAATAAAAAATAAATAAAGAATATTTTTTTTTTGATTTTTTTATTTAAAAAACTAAAAGTAATTACAAGATTCAAGTTATATTTTAATTTAATGACAAGTTAATATAATCATACTTATTTTTAAAATGGTTAAAAAAGATTTTAAAAAGATTTATTAATTAAATAAAATAATAATTTTAAAAGATTTAATTTAAGAAAGAAAAATTAATAATAAAAATCAATATTTCTTTAATTAAAAGATTTAAGCATAAAGTTTAAAGAAATATTTTTAAATATTATTATTTTAATAAAAATCAAACAGTTTAACTAATATAAATAGTAAAAAATAAATATATTAGCAATTATAAAAAATTTAATTTTGTTTATTAAGACAATTTTTTTAATAATAGTTAAAATAAATAATAGAGTTTTATATATATATTTATATTGTTTTTTTTTTCATATTGTTTTTATAAAAAAAAACAATAAAATTTGAATTTTAATAATAAATTTGAATCTTAATTATATTTATCAAAAGAGCAATATACAGTATTACTTTTATAAATTGTATTTAAAGACTTTAATTAACTATTAAAAAAAAATTGAATTAAAAAGATTTATACTTTATATATGTTTTTATGCTTGTAATAGTTTTATAATTAAATAAATAAATGATTTTAACCTAATTATAAGTTAAAAAAATAAAAGTATTAATATTAATAAAATAAAAAATATTAATTATTATTATTATTATTATTTTGATATTATATAATATAATATGAGAATAGTAGCTTATAACTTATTTTATATACTATAAATAAATTTATTTTAGATTATAAGTATAAAAAAAAATTTTTTTAAAATTAAAAATAATATTTATATGAAATATATTTAATTATCTTATCGAAAAATTTTTCAAAATAATATATTCGTGTATATTTAGATGATAACTTTTTAAATTTAATAGTTAACTAATATATATTATCGGAAAACTTTTAATAAAATTACAAATTTCGATTATTGATTGTTAACATATTATTATTCAATTGTTTTCGAATAACGTATTTATAATTAAATGATTTCTAAAAAAATTTTTTTTTTGATTTACTGTATATCCTATATACGTATTTGGACAGTTATCTTAGAAAAGAATATGATTTATCGGTCCTATTTTAAATAAATACGTACATAACGCAAATTTTAGATCACATTTATAGGATCGAAAATCCCTGTTCTTTTCGAAAATAATTACCCATTTGGAATATTAACGATTAATAAGTACGCGTTATACAACCAATTTTCGCGTATACTTTTAATGAAAAAGTAATGTTTATTCGTCTATCTCTAACGAGACCGCCGTACCCATCACCCCTATTCACTTCCCACACCACTTAAATATATAAAAATTAGGGGTAACCCGCGGCGAACCACGAGCACCCCAACAACCAAAAATTGTCCAGTTGAGACATCCATTGAGGACGTTCAAAGCAGCAGCCACCAGGCAACAGTGCAATGCCAGCAACCACCACCTACACAACCACCTTAATGATCATGGCTATGTCCTGGCAGGTAAGTATGAGTTGTTAATTAGTGAGTGTCCCTATATTTATAGATGTTCGGGTAATGCTCAGCAAAAATTTTCAAATTGTGGGATTTACGGTTCATTTATGATTGGCTTATAATAGAAATGTGTCACGTGAAAAAACTGCAAATGTATGTATGCGAGTATAAAGAAAAAAATAGGTACGTACGTCAAATGTTAAATTTTTATTGCTCAAAGTTATATATTGATTACACATTTTTTAATGTTCATCTAAATATAGGTACAAAACGCTCATACAGTATATCCGTAAAGTCTGGAGAAATAGATAAAACTGGAGAAATAGATAAAATAAGGAAAAGTTAGTACATCATAATTTGAGAACAAACTCGGATAGGCAAGTTTATGTTGGATTCAGCGACTTGAATAATGCGTCATTAAAAATTATATATTTTTTCCAAATTTTGCATGGGTTTATCATCATTATCCGTGATTATTTTTTAGGTATGAAATGCCACTCGAAAACTTACCTATCATCACATACGTCTTATGGATAACAGTTTTTTCGCAGCCTTATATATATTAATTTTGGTATGACAAAGATTGGTGTGTCTAATTGGTCGATTATTTCAGTCTACTCGAATTATTCCTTCGACACACAATTCAAAGAGTATGCCCGAACAATTCAAGGACCCTTGGGCTCGTCGTGAAGCCTGGCGACATCTCCCTCGATTTTCTCGTGCTAACGCTTTTAGGAACCTTTGGCCGGGTTTCACTTGGGGACTTGGTGCTTTTATTATCTATCTTGGCTATGACACATTATCCACTCAAGGTTTCCTCGGTGGTGGTAATCATTCTCACACCTCGGAAAAAAAGCAGGACTCACATTAAAGTTTAACGACGCAAGTGAAAATTTTGCAGAAATGTTGGACCCTTTTCCACCCAACTTCACCAGGTAAACATTGTAATCATAAAATCAAATTCTAATAGAGATCTTGTATATACCATAATTTTTTATTCATTATTATATCAGCGCATTTTAAAATTACCGCTTCTTGGAGTATAAAATTACAACGTCTTTCAAGAGGAATCAAAACCACGTTACTGTATTACTTACCTGTAGTTGTACCGTTCTTTGCTGTTGACTAGAATTTCAAGGCTTATCTCAGCCCTTAAATGCGAAGACATTTTGACCTTATTAAATCGATGTACAAATTGAGGGATAAATGCATTAATTTTATCTATAATCAAACTTGATTAAACGCCTTAGAATCATGTGGTATGACTTTCCTAGGATTTCTATTGTGACCAACCAAAATTCTTATTCAGGATCGTTTGTTCGGTCTACTTTGCGACTCAACTTGCTTTCTTATATCGGATAGTAAAGTATTAACATCTAAAGTGTTGATATTTTTGACCGAATCTTGAGACGCATCAAAGATGGGCGGTGCTGTTGTATTATTTTTTGTTTGAGCATCAGATTTGGTTGTTATTATATTTTCGGTCGTTTGTTCAATTGACGATGCCGCAACAGGATTCTTCTGTCTTTTTGAGCGGATCATCGCAATTCTCGCATCCAGTTGAGCTTTTCTCTTATTCTTAATACTTTGATGACCCGCCCGTTTCATTTCCGTCTGATAAGATGTAAATTAGTCAGTAAATTTTATAGATAGTAATTTTTTTAATCATTCAAGAATAAATATTAACCTCTAGTCTCATCTCTTTTAATTCGCGCATTTGCTTTTGACGTTCTTCCTCATCTTTGGAGAAACGATAGAAGCCTACACCCTTCGTCCGAATTTCTATAATAAAATCATAATTATTAAAGTCATTTTCAAATAATATATACTGGTGATAATTCTTACCCTTGGTTTCATCGTAGTGAATAGGTCCACCTGGTGAATTAGAATGAATTAATATCGTTTAATGACTAGTGAGATCGATGCGGCGTTCAGCACACACTTTTCAATTCTTTCAGCGCGGCCTCTTCCCATCGTTGTCTTTCGTCTTCCATTGGCGACGTATCATCGAGATCCGTTGGAGCGCTTTCCGCGTCAGGTATTGATGTGCTGAAGTTCAATAAGATTAATGATAATTCATCTAGGATAAATGCGAGGAATGATTGATGTTTACTTAGAAGAATCATCTTTAGGTAATTGACTTTTTCGACACAAACGCGTCCTTCCAAACTCATCAACATATTCCACCCATGGATCATCATTTTCGTTCTGTTTTTCATCGTTTGATTCATCGTCCTACAAAAATTTGCACACATTTAATCAAATTGCAAATATATCAAGGTTAAGAAAACTCAGGATCACCTACTGAGGGATTCTCCCAAGCTTTCCTATCAAAATCGACCAAGACTTCTTCTGCAAGCCTATCGTCTACATGGTGGACATGCCATGTCAAATATGACTATCAAAACTCACGTACGAAAATTATTCAACCCAATTACCGCTAATGCCAGTCTTTTTAAGTTGATCATATAACTTGGCCTTCCTTTCCATCGCTATTCGACTAGCTTCTAAGGTCGGTGCATCAACTAATTCTAATTCGTCTCGATGAGACCTTTCATTCACCCCTTTATTCTGACGCTCCCAGAGTCCGGGTTTCTAGGAAAAAACAAAAAATCAAAAAATCTTTTAGAAAACAGTTTTCGAAAGAATTTTTCGATTTACATTTGCAAAACTCCACGAACCTTTACGCTCTTTCTTAGAGCCGCAGAAACAGGTTGATTGTTTGCTTCTTCCCTTTGCTTTTTAAATTCTTCTTTCTGTTTGAATAATTCGGCCTTCAGATCTATAACCTATAAAACAAGAATTAACAGACGCATTTTCACGAGGAGTAAAAAGTGAGTTATTTCCTTGTGCGATCCTTACCGAGGCACTGCTGATCTCTATCGTTCGACTTGGTTCTTGCATGCTTTCTTGTTCTTTAACTCGAGAGTCGATCAAAATATTATATTATTTATAATTTTCGGTGATTGTCACATGCCTAAAATGCAGGATATATATCACACGGAAATAGAAATTATCTTGGTGAAAATGGTTAATCTTGGTTAACTCTCAAAGTTTCTACCCAAGGCTTTAAAATTCTTACCTTCAAATAAAACCTTACATATGGCAACTTTTGAGGGGACCCCCACGTTTCAGAACCTTTTATACATAGTTGATCAGTCGTTTGAAAATATAGCCGTTGCATTCCGAGGCCTAGTACCGGAGCAAAAACGGTTCGAAGCCGCTTGTGCATTGATGGCATTACTCGAAGATGACGAGTTACAGGTTCGTCAAGTTCACAAGATAACCTGTGATGTTTTTCTATCTGAGCTTTTTCCTCGAAAACTTGCATCAAAAGCAAACTCAATAATATTTTGCTCGCGCTCAATACAGGCTAATCAACGAGTTGTTTCCCTTTACATTCTCTACCATTTATATAACGTCGTTCCTATCCATCAGAACCCTTTCTTATTGCTCTTCTTAAATCTATACAAGAATCTGTTCTCAAACCTACCTTTTGTTAAGTCCAATTATGAACTACTAGTTGAATTTCGTGTGGAAGCATTGATCTTAGCTAACAAGGGCTCGCAGGTATTATTGAAGAAAAATTTTTTCGATCATTTCTTTGTCAGCTGTTTAACGTGTAAAAACTTTTTTTATGTCCTCTCCTTCCAATTAGCTATCAGATAAGACCCCCACAGACATATTCACGCAATTTGCAAGTACCAATGACTCCCCTTTAATGGATACAGAAGAAGTGAACATTGCGGGATTCGAGCATTACATCAAACGTGAATTTGATGTGCGTTTACCGCATAAAGGAGAAAGGTACCTAATACATTCGCCATCAATAGATGATGATTAGGATAGCTTGCATGTAGCACGAAATTTATTCGTCATAATGATTTAGACAAAGTTCATGGATCGAGGTTGACGATTTAGACGCTCGCGAAATTTCTTATACACCAGCGCCTCAATCATCAGTGGTGCAAGAAAAGGTAACTTTCACATGAATCTCCATTCGGCATTAGATTGAATATACATAATAATGACATTTTTTTATCTTTAGCATATTATTACCGTTGGGATAGATTCTGAAATCGAGTGGGATTACAACATGATGGCTGACTTTACAGATCGTGATGACATTCGACTCTTGATGAACAAAGCTTTACAGCGGGCATTGTCAATACCGGAAGAAGAGGTTTATTTTCGATTTATTTTCTAGACTTTACACGCAATTATACGATTTTTAAAAAATTTAAAGAGTTTTTTTTAACATTATTATATTCAGTATGTCCTTAAGCAATTTGAAAAGAATTCCAAGCTAATATATCATTGTAATTTTTCGCCGGAAAAACTTCCTTATCTAATTGAAAACAATTCAAGGGTTGCTGTTGAAGCACTATTGCAACTTAAATCATCTCCACAGATTGGCAAGTAAGTGTTACTTGATGAGAGCAGCTACAAACGCCTACAATTTTGATAGAATGTAACGTTGAATTTGGTAAATCATCAGATATTTGGAAGCGCTCTTGACTATCAATGATCCGAAACGATCGCAACAATCTTCAACAGAACCGGTGAATCGAATGAGATCTTCCATGGAAGTGGTAAATCAACTTATTACGCCATTTCCACTTTCCCCGGAATTTTTACATTCCTATCTATCTAATTGCGTGCGGGCTTGTGAAGAATGTAGAAACAGAAACATACAGGGTCGACAAGTTCGTCTTGTAAGCTATTCCTTTCGTTACTCTACTAATGTGATATCAACAAGTACATACACTAACCAATATTGGCATTTAGATCTGCGTCTTCCTCCAATCGTTGATTAATAAAAATATAATAGATGTAAACAGATTCTCCATTGAGATACAGGCTTTTTGCCTTCAATTTTCACGGCATAGAGAGGCCGCTGAATTGTTCAGGTTCTTGTTAAATTTACAGAGGGATGCGATTAGTGAAGATGTCCTAAGTGAGGGTGCGATTTTAAATGGTGGTGGTGGAGATAACAATAATGACACCGATAATAGTGGGGAGCATGGTGCCAATGGAGATCTTGAAAAATGTGAACTATCATAGCAAATATTTGTACAAAGCGTAAGCGTAATAGAACACACATATGCATTGTAAAATAGATAATTATATAAAGTAGATTGTTTATGGGGTTTATATATTATTGCTTATCTAAAATTAGAACCTAATAATTCTCATGTCTAAATTACAATTTTATGAGTTATAATACAAATGCAACAAGTCTTCATCTAGCACTATCTTAATATAACTGCTGCATGTCTCAACCCAAGGTAATCCTGAACGACACCCGGAGCCATTTGTTTAATCTCCCTATATATCTCCGCGGAGTGGTACCTGAGTCGAGTTTTTGGATCCGTATATTTTGCCTGGATTGATTTCACAACAGGAATTAGAAAAATGATAATACTATCATCCAGCTTATTGAAATTCGAGCTACCTCTAATCCTGTTATATCACAATATTTTTTTTGAGGGACGATCGAAGGTGGTGCTTCGATGTTTGAATCTATTGAATTATACAAAATTTTGTGAATTCTACACCGAGACGTGTAAAAAGACCACATCGTGGGTTAATAATAATACTTACAAGTTGGTATATCCAATGGCATGTTTTCTTTTCTTTCGGCCACCAGCATTTGTTTGACATTTTTATATTTTCTTGATGGCCTGTAATGTGGATTTTTAAATTTTTTGACTACAACGTTAAGGTTTAATGGTGTCGGGAAATTGTTGATAGGTGATGTTTCCGGGTTTGTTTCGTATGGAGCGGAAGCCATAGTCAAACCCTCCGAGGTTGCTTCGTCTTCGGCCACTGTTCCACTTACGGATTCATTTTGGGGTGTCATGACGACGTCGCCATCAGGTTCTACTTTTAGTAAGGAAGTAGTGTCAACGGGTTCGGTTTTTGCGGAAGCCTCAGCTGCTGCTTTTTCTTGCTAAGTGCAGAAATCGTGTCAGGACAGGCATCAGAACGCGAGTTATGGATATCATATGAACAGTTCCAAACGCACCTTTGCAGCTCTTGTTGCACTTCTTGTCGCGGTCTTCTTTGGGGTTTTCCTTGTTCTAATGAAAAAAGATAGTGCGCTTTAAGAAGAGAAGCAATAACACTGTTCATCGAAAAGCAACTTACATGACCATGTTTGATCGGAATCGAAAAATACAACTTTGCGTTTATCGTTTATTACCCGTTTTATCCACATAATTTCAAAGTCATGTGGTTCTCTAATCTTAATAAAATAGATCTAATATAACCGAGATCAAATAAAACAAAGCTTTCAAACTTTGCGATGTTCAAGAAGTACTTTCACATTTTATCTTTTCTAATTCGTTCTTAATTATTGCACCTAATTATTCTTTTTACATAAATAGATTTAATATAAAAGAAAGTGTGACCTCTCAGTCTCAAGTAAAATCTTCGGTGCAAAGGAACATTCGTGCCAAGATCCTCGAACAATATAAAAATTTAGAATCCGTTATTGATGAAGTGTTGCCAAAAAAATCAGCATTATTCTTAGTAAAATGGTAAGCATAACGCTATCAATATCTTTCACGCGCTTGTCGATTCCACGAAACTGATATTTCATTGTCTTCAGTCATGATCACATTAATCTATTAACCATAAATAATGAGATATTGTTCTTTCAACGTTTCGACGGGCCATACTATCCAGCGTTGAGATTGCTTCACAAATGTAAATCCATGTACCATGTATTTTTCCTCGAATTTTTCTTTCAAATCAAGAACTATTTCATGTCTTGAATTCGCAGTTCAATTTTGCCTACATTTTTTCAATTTAGATCCGGAATCGTTTCCTAGGTTACAGGTGGACAGGGGCGCAATTAAGTTTATTCTATCCGGAGCGAATATAATGTGTCCTGGTCTCACAAGTAAAGGAGCAAAGATAGACGAAGATTTTCCAGCAGAAACTATTGTTGGTGTGTTTGCTGAAGGAAAAGAGCATGCGCTTGCAATAGGACTAACAAAAATGTCGACCAAAGAAATGTGAGTTCATATTAAAAATGATTCTGCTGATTCTAATATTTCATATTTAACAAGTTTTGCATCATCATTTTAAATTATTTAGCAAAGAAATCAACAGGGATATAGGCGTTGAAAATGTTCATTATTTAAACGATCCGTTATGGAAGAGTAGCTTAGAATGATCGAAATGATTGTTTCAGAATTGCGCGTGTATATATTCGTTTACCTAATAAGTATCTGGCACATATCAATCTGGTGACTTAAATTAATTTTAGAATAATATCAAAGGAATAAGTCTTGAAGGCATGGAGAGAAAACATTAAAGTTTATACAGCAAATATTCGCCAAAGTGATCGAGTGATCTAATTAAACCAAATACAAACTTACAACCCCGAAGAATAGTCAAATAACAAAACGCGTAGTTGCTATTTCAACCTTGTGTTTAAATTTCAATTATTTAAAAAATCTTAATCAGAAGTAAAAATCTTACTTTAATTTGAAAATTCTCACAATAAAAGATTAAATGAAATGTCACTTAACAAAAAAAGTAGACTTAATGTATGGATCTAACCATCATATTTTAATAAATTTTTTTATTCCCGCAGTTTGAAAAATTAGTTTTGTTTTAATAAGCAATTTGCTATTAATAAATTTTGTTCAGAGGCAATATGATTCTCCCCATGCTTTTTTGAATTTCTATAACTCTATCAACCAGAAATTTTTTATTACTATGCTTAAATTTTTTTTTATGCCTTAAGATTTAATCCAGAAGTTAATTCAGTTTTAGTTTTTTGGTATTTAGTTTTGTTGTTTTTTTTATTGGTTCCTGTTGATACAATAATGGTTTAATTATTAAAGAACCATAATTGGAATAAGGTATCCCTTTTCAAGTCATTATTAAAGCTACAACAGTTAAAAATTACAATTGATCAAAAGAGTTTCAAAGTTTTTTGATTTGATTTGGCATTGTTAAGAATATTATATTCATATGTATTGATATATCCTTGTATCTTGATATATATTGATCCATTCAAATTATTTATTATAGTGTTATAAATAGGTTTTTTATAAATGTAAAAAGATTTTTGATATTGTATTATTAAGTATATTTACATTTTTTTTTCTTGTTTTGCTATATTAAATAATAATAATATTAATTATTTAATACTATAACAATTTTTTTATTTTTGCTATACTATTATTCAATAGTATAAAATAATTAAAAACTTTCAAGATATCAGAACTTTTTAATTTATTTCTTATTATTAATTATATTAATTATATTTATACTTATTTGAAAAATAAAAGAATATTATTATTTTTTTTTGAATGGATAAAAGATACTTCATACATATATATTTTTTATTGAATTATTTATATCCAATTACATATACAGTGAATCTTTTTTAAATACATACTCCTTGGGACTATAAGAAAATTTTTGAAAAATATATATTTATAGAAGGTATATATTTATGAAAATAATTTTATTAAAAGTTCTATATACTTGAAATCAAGCTTGATCATATATTTAGAGAAAAAAATATAGTAAGTGCATTTATAGAAAGTATATTTAAAGAGGTTTCTCTATATATTCAAGTTTATTTAAATTAATCTCATATTTTATCTATAGACTTATTCAATATATTAATTGAAAATTGTGAAGGTAAATCTGTATCTTAAAAGAAATCTTTAAAAGATAAAAATCCTATCACTAGTTTTAAATTATCTAATCTAATTTAGATACTATTTAACTATATCTATTATAAAAGAGTTACTAATTATAATCTTTTAAAAATTAATAGAATACTTAAATATTTTAATATTTTTTGTTTAAATTTTAGAAAAAATAAGTTACTCTTTGTTATCACTTGCAGTTTTTAATTATATCAAGTATACAGTATATTTGAGATATTTTCTTATTTTAAGCAAATACTGGATTAAAATGGTATAAATCAAGATATTTTTTTATATTATAAAGTTCATTATATCAGTTTAGGATTATGAATTTATAAAATAATTAGATCAAAGATATTTTCTTATATAATCTTTTCTGAATAAAAAAATATTATTAAGTATATATAATATTTATTATTTTATTTTTTTTATTTTATTATTATTTTTTTTTTAAGACTAAGTTGCGATACACGCATGGATTTATTGATATTTCAATTACGATCACAATTATCTATACATAAACGGTCTACTAGCTATTGCTAATGTTAACCCACGCAACCCATCCTTTTTTACCAGAATACTAACTAACACCTTGGAGGTGGGTCTATACTCTGGCTTTTATCGCTATGTGATAGTCCTATAACTGCCTAAGTAAGTACCTATCACGTCATGCCTTCACCGTGCACACGCTGCATTTGATCACTAGAACCTTCGACGCAAGTATACACTCCCTAGTGAATGCTCCGGTTTTACTGCTGGTTGGCATTGACTACCAAATATAGAGGGTCATTTTGATCTAGTGGGGCACAACTCCTTAAAGGTTTTTCCCTTAAACTCCTAGTAGACACTCCAGACAGGCCAGTTGGCGTAAGCTGCCAAATCTAGGGGTATAAATACCAAGCAGGGCACAACTTCTATATACTCTGTCTCGCCGCATGGTAGCCAGACCAGGAATGCAGGTGGTCCCGGCTTTGTTGCACTAGCTTCAAGGTCTTCTTACTTTGATAATTAAGTCTTACCATCATAGGACAACTTCTGACGATTATCATGCTTCAACCGGATGATTGTCGCACCTCGTCACCTTTTTCTGGAGATCACAATCTCAATGCCCACTGGATCAGCGTGTGAAATAGCTTCACATGAGAAACAGCATATAACAAATTATGGTGCCAGATACCATATAGGTTCTATTCAATCGTCTTTACCTGGGATTGAACCGGTATCTTGTGATCTGATCTGTGGAGTGTTAACCACTACACTATAGACCCACAGGTCAATATTTATTATTTTTTTTTTTTTTTATATAAAAACTTATATATTAATAATATATATTTTTATAAAATATTTTTATAATAAAAAATAATTAATTGTGATTGTAATTGAAATATCAATAAAATCTATGCATGTATTATAACTTAGTTATAAAAAAAAAATAAAATAAAAAATAATTATTTTTCTTAAACTTGTGTTTTTTGTAATTTTTTTTTGACTAAAATACAAATTATTATTTAAATAAATATAATATATTTAAGCTTTTATAAGTATACTTATTAAAGTTAATTAATATACACTACTTAAACAAAAGTATTGCATATTATTTATTTATTAATTACACAAAATTTTACAAATAATTTTATTTAAAATTTTAATATGTTATATTTTATGTAATAAAATATCTACAGTATATATAAATCGATATTCTGTTGACCATCCATTATTTCTAATAACTGCTTCTATTCTTTGTAATATACTTTCTATATAATTAATTAATTGATTTTTTAAAATTTTACTCTATTCTTCTTATAATGCAATTTCTATTTTTTAAGATTTTTTATATTTTCTAATTTATTTTTTATTTTTATTTTTAATTTAAATCACAAATATTTAATTGAATTTAAATCAGAAGATTGACTTGGCCAATCAGGTAAAATTCTAATTTTATTTTCTAAAATCCATTATTAAACATCTTTAGCAATATAAATTGGAGCATTATCATTTTGAAACAAATATTCCTTATAATTAAATTATTATTAATTAAAGAAAATAAATGCTTTTCAAGTATTTTAATATAATATAATCTATTTAATTTATCACTTACTTTTACTAATGGATCTAATCCTTTACTTGAAAAATATTCCTATACCTAAAGATGGAACCCTAAACTATTTAGCATATTAAATTTTACAGATCCATTATGTCTTTTTTGAAGAGACATAGTTATTTATTTATTACTTTAATAGGGACATAATTCAAAAAACACTTGAATCAAGTGGCCTAAATTGCAAAAAACCTTTATAGATAGTTTTTTTTTAATCTTATATTTAAAAAAAAACTTTTTTAATAGTAAGAAACATTTGAATTATATTCTCACTTTTAATTTAGAAACCCATCTTTAATGATAAGAGTAACATATTAAGGTATATAAATGATTTCATGATATAAATACTCTTTTTCTTTTAATTAAACTCCATATTCTTTTTATAATATAGTAATTTAGCCCAAAATGTTCTCTATTTTTATTCTAAATATAGATAGTTTCTTTCTTTTTCCTGCTCAAAGATTTTTTAAAAATATATCTACTATAATAGATGGTAGACTAATATATATACAATGTATTCATACAGTATATCTTATATTTTAATATTAAATATATATAATTATTTCTTTTTTAATAAAGATCATGAGACATATCTTATCTTAATATTAAAAAAAATAAAAAAAAATAAATTATCTTAAATGAGTAAATTATGCTTGCATCTATTGATTACAAATATGCTATGATATTTGAAGGCAAAGAATGTAATATGATATTTGATAAATCTTCAGATATTAAACTTTCTTTATTAATATATATAGATGCTTTATTAAATAAAAGAATAATTTTTCTGTTTTCTTGTTGCATTTGTTTATTTAAATTATTCAAAAATTTATTTCAAATTGTTGTATTCATCTATATTGAATCATTTAAATAATAATTAACAGGTAATTCTTCTTTTATTTTTTTCTTTATATACAAGAATTTTTATAATAATAAATAACTAAAAACTTGATTTTAATACTTTTTATAAAATAATATATAAATTATATTAAATTATAAATATATTTTAATAAAAATATTAAATATCTATAACATTTGTATAAAGAAGTACAGTAACTTTTTGTTTATCTTTTTTTTTCCAATAATTTCTTTTTTAACAAAAGATTTTAATGATTCTATTTTTAAAAAAAAAACTAGTTTCATCACA